CCGATAAGTGTCTGCCTTTGGCTCTGATCATGATCCTAGGGTCCTGGGATCAAGTCCAACATTGGGCTTCCTGCTCAGCAGGGAGTCTGCTTCTCCCTCTGCCCCACGCCCCACTCGTGCTCTCTCTCTCTCTCAAATAAATAAATAAATAGAAATAAAAACATAAAATGCTGCCCGAATTTCACAGTTCGCTTTACTATTATTACCTGATTCCAAACACTTAAAAGTTCTCTGGAATTCCAAAGAAAATATCATCAGGATTCAAAATAGAGAAAAAATGCGACAAACATTCCCTCCCTAATTAAAAGTGTCCCTCCACAAGCAGATGCTTCGTTTTTCTTGAGCTATGTTGGGTGACGGAGAGCTCAGCCAGTGACATAACGTTCAGGTTGCGAGCAGCTAATTACCGGTACTGTGAATGTGTCTGCGGAAGCTCCGAGGAACTGCTGAATCTTCCAGCAGTGGTGTTCAGTGCTGTTCTAGTGGGCAGAGAAAGCCACAGCAGATGGTTCGGGCTTGGGAACAGTGGGAAGAAAGTTGCCGAGTGGACTCAGATAAAGGAGGGATTCGGACCCCAGCCAGGAGAGCACAGATTTGATGTTGCTGTCAACAGGAAACTGCTGAAGGTTTCTGAAATTCTACTCTAAAAATATGCTCCTGCTCTGGATTGGAGGAACACCGAGTGCCAGGAGGCTTGCAGTTAGAATGGCCAATTCAGAGGTGCGAATAAAATTTAGATTTTGGGTGATGGAGCCCTGGCCTTTTGTGGCAGCACAAAAATGGGGGCATCTTGGGGCGCCAGGGTGGCTCAGTCAGTTAAGCGTCTGCCTTCAGCTCAGGTCATGATTCCAGGGTCCTGGTATCAAGCCCACATCGGGCTCCCTGCTCAGCAGGAAGCCTGCTTCTCCCTCTCCCACCCTCCCCCCTGCTTATGTTCCCTCTCTGACTGTGTCTGTCTGTCAAATAAATAAAATCTTAAAAAAAAATGGGGGCATTTTGAAAGAAAAACAGGTAGGACCTGATGAGTAAGCAGATGCAGAGACTAGGGAGAGAGGCGAGTCGGTGATGACACCACAGTTCTGAGCATGACTTGGACATGGTAGCACCCCAGGCAATGGGGAAGTCAGGAGGGAATTTTATTTTTGTCAGGAAGCTGATGAATTTGGCTCTAGACAGGCAGAATTTCAGCCAAGGTTGGGGGGAAAGTTGAAGATCTGTAGCTAGGGCACAAGTCAAAGGATAGGATTGGAGAGTTTATATAAATACAAAATCTGTATATATTTGTGTGTGTGTGTGTGTTTTAATTATGGAATATTTCAAACACATCAAACATAGGCCGAATAGTAAGGAACTCCCATGCACCCATCATCACCTGCCTTCAGTCATGATGGGCTCTTAGTCAACTTTGGTTCATCCAGACTCCCCACCCTGCATTATTCTGAAGCATATTCCAGACATGGAAACAGAGACTTATGTATATTAAACTATGAAGTACAAAAACAAACAAACAAACAAAAAAACCTATGAAGTACAAAGGCACCTGGCTGGCTTAGTCAGTGAAACATGTGACTCTTGATCTCGGGGTGTGGGTTCAAGCCCGTCGGGTATAGAGATTATTTAATAAAAAAGAAAAGTTAGGATGCGGGGGTGGCTCAGTCAGCTAAGCATCTATCTGCCTTTGACTCGGGTCATGATCCTGCGGTCCCGGGATCAAGTCCCACATGGGGCTCCTTGCTCAGCATGGAGCCTGCTTCTTCCTCTCTCTCTGCCCCTCCTTCTGCTTATTGTCTCTCTCTTTCTTTCTCTATCTCTGTCTCTATCTCTGACAAATAAGATCTTGAGGGGCACCTGGGTGGCTCAGAGGGTTGGGTGTCTGCCTTTGGCTCAGGTCATGATCTCCAGGTCCTGGGACTGAGCCCCACATCAGGCTCCTGGCTAGCTCAGTGGGGAGCTTGCTTCTCCCTCTGCCAATCCCCCTGCGTGCTCTGTCTCTCTCTCAAATGAATAAATAAAATCTTAAAAAATAAAAGTAAAATCTTGGAAAAAATATATGAAGCACAGAAAATAGAGATTTGAGAAAACCTCAGAGAAGTTTAAAGCAAACCTTCTCATCTTACAAATGAGCAAAGCTAGAGATTAGAGATAGTAATAAATTACCCCTAATTTAAAAAAAAAAAAAACTGCAAAGCTGCAACTAGAACCTAGTTATCTGCAAACAGTTTTATTAAGCTTTCAGGAGATGAAATGAGAAAAGGATAACAAATTCTTCAGAAAGCTAAAATTCAAAAATTTTTAGAAAATTACTGTTTATAGGGACGTCTGGGTGGTTCAGTTGGTTAAGCAGCTGCTTTTGGCTCAGGTTGTGATCCCCGAGTCTTGGAATCGAGTCCCACATCGGGCTCCTTGCTTGGCTGGGATCCTGCTTCTCCCTCTACCTCTGCCCACTGCTCCCCTGCTTGTGCTCTCTCTCTCTCTGACAAATAAATAAATAAAATATCTTCAAAAAATTACTTTTTGTAAACATTTTATGAATTACTATTTGTAAACACCTTTAAAAAGTAAACATTTGTCTTATAATCCCTTTATGTGCAATTTTGTCAAATTAACACCACAGATGCCATACATTATAAAATAGAACAGTAACACTGGTCCTCACGCTAACCTCGAAGAACAAGAGAATTGTGTTTACTTAATTATCAGTGGTTGGTTTTCATACTGTGGCCCTACAGCCTCTGGGGTTACTCTAAGTGTGCCTGGGAGACAACAAAGGAGTCCTATCTGTCTGGAGTCAGTTTACTTTTGGCTGCCAGGAAAATCACCTCGAATGACACGTCACCTCTCGTGGCAGGCCTACCTACGTTTGTGGAGCAAGCTCTGTGTGGATTGTGGTGAGCAGAAAATGCAACAAGACAATAAGAGGCACATTGATATTAATTTCATAAAAGGGCGCAAACTGAGTAACACTGTCAAAAAAAGTACAGTTTTATCAGAAAATAGGACACTTCATGGATCCAACTTAGATTTATAAAAGTAAATTAATCAGTGTGAGAGTTTAAATACGTGGCAATGTCCTTTGTGAAGATGTGAGGAAACCAAAAAAAGAACTTCAAAAAAAAAATTCTGATTTGATCCTCACGATGAACCTGTAAGCCTGGGGCTCTTGCCCCCACCATTGCCTCATTCACTTGCTGCCTTAAGGGAAGGGAGAGTTTCGAAGAGGGTGGTCAGTAATGCCCAGGGCAATAGGAAAGTTCAAAATCAGAGCAGGCGGGACATCAGGTTGTAAGAAGAAAAATGAAGGACAGGAGTGGTGGTAGGAGCAGAAGCCGGCCAGCTAGCACATTAAGCTGACCAGTGAGGTTGTGTTATAACCCAATACTACCGATTTTTGTTTAAATATGGTCTTCTAGGAGTGCCTGGCTGGATCATCCGTAGAGCACACAACTCTTGGATCTTGGGGTTGTGAGGACCAGCTCCACGTTTGGCACAGAGGTTAGTTAAAAAAAAATGTTAGTGCCCATTGGTGATGGTTTAACAAGTTCGGTAAAGTGACACCTGGGTGGCTTAGTCGGTTAAGCGTCTGCCTTCAGCTCAGGTCATGATCCCAGGGTCCTAGGATTGAAACCCCATGTCTGGCTCCCTGCTCGGTGGGGAGCCTGCTTCTCCCTCTGCCTGCCGCTCCCCCTGCTTGTGCTTTCTCTCTCTGACAAATAAAATCAATCTTTAAAAAAACACAGTCTTCTAAATATGTTGACTTGCAAAGCTCTCTTATAATTATACTGCTTTTATTTATAGGCAAGTTTGAGTCTAGTGAAAAAGTGCCCTTTCTCTAGTATTACCAGCACTTTTAAGCCCCCCTCCTTTTTTTATTTGACAGAGAGAGATCACCAGTAGGCAGAGAGGCAGGCAGAGGGGCGGGGGGGAAGCAGGACCCTTCAATCATGACCTGAGCTGAAGGCAGAGGCCTTAACCCACTGGGCCACCCAGGCGCCCCTTAAGGCCTCTTTCATACATTGAGCACTGTGCTGAGGCTTTGAGTTCAGGCTCTAAATGCACCTCTGCTACAACACTCTGGGACCTTAATGGCTGTCTCATCCTTGAAATCAAACAAACTTATCACTTGACAGCAAACACAAAAACAGGGTAAAGAGAGCCAGAGTCTTGAGGGTTCATATTCTTTGGGGAACTTCTGACCCCCTGATTTCCTTTGGGTGGAGACAACATTAAGAAACTATCTACATGTAGACTCTAGTTAGTTCTATAAATCTCTGCCACAGGGTGCCTGGGTGGCTCAGGGGTTAAGCTTCTGCCTTTGGCTCAGGTTGTGGTCTTGGGGTCCTGGGATCAAGCCCCCGCATCAGGCTCTCTGCTCAGCAGGGAGCCTGCTTCCTCCTCTCTGCCTCCCTCTCTGCCTACTTGCGATCTCTGTCAAATAGGTAAAAAACAAATCTGCCACACCCCTTTGGGGAGGATGTTTAGGATATCCTAATGTTAAGTGTCCTAAATGTTAAGTGTCAACATTTATGTAACATACTATTTAAATCCTGTAAGTGAACTGACACCAGCAGTTTACAAAGAAATGAAAGTACTGAGGCATCAAGTACTTATCCTTTCTTCTAGCATTTAATATTAGTTTAATTAGCAAACCAAAATTAACCTAAAACTGTAAGTAGCAACATGAACATGACATTATTTTGATAAGCTCATATTAAATAGAACATAAACTTTTATTTACCAAACTGAAGGGAAAACTAAGAATAAGATAGATATTTCATATTTATCTTTTAAAAGCAGCACTGACCATTTCTTCCAGTTTCCATCATTTACTTTCTTCCTAACATTCGTTTATTGAACAATGATCCAAGCGCTGATAGGCTTGCAGCGCACGGGGGACACTAAACAAAAGCATCACCATTCTGAGTCCAACTCCTCATTGTTCAGGTTCCTGGTTCTGACAGCAGCTCCAAAAATATTTACTGAGGAAAAACTAAGGCTTTGTCTAGACAGGAAAAATTTTATTTTATTTAGCAATTCGTTTTCTGATTTTTTAATTTATGAGAATTAAAAGGGAAATAAATACAATACTGCAGTATAAATTTGAGATTCAATTTAAAAAATTTAAATTATGTCAAATGTTTTTGTTTCATGTACATGTCCCATTTACTCAAACCATACAATTATACAGAAATTTCACTGGTAATACACAATAAAAAATTATTCAGTGGTATCACAAGTCATTTTTGAGAATTACTTTTATCATGTTTTCTAATGATGTCCATAAGATTAGCTCCTGTAACCAGATCATTCTGTGTCTGTTTATCTTTCTGCTGTTCCTTTCTTTTCTGGTCATGAAGGTAGGGGGAATTTAACAACTGTGGGGGAAGAATGGATCCTGTGGGTTTCACTCTTTTTGCAATATCCCAGAAGAGTCTTTTTGAATTGTTATTGATGAAAGTAATCGCTGTTCCATGTTGGCCTAATCTTCCCACTCTTCCAACCTGAAATGAAATGCAAAGAACATTTCCAAAATGTTCACATAAAACCTGAATGTCGCTTGAAAGAAAATGAAGATTAGTAATTAAAGAGGCTTTACTAAGATTAACATTCATTCACGTAGCATGTTTTTGAATTGTACATCTCAATGTAGCTTGTGAAACCAATTTAGTGGACTGCCACCTGCATATTTTTAATGAAATACCTTGAACAGAAAATAACAAAGCGCCCACATATAATACAAGTAAGTACTGCTTGTTAAACGTTTGTTTCAGTTACGTATCCTGTGTGTACATGTGCGTGTGTGTATGTGTGTAGGGTGGTAATGACACGAAGATGGTTCTTATCATGGGCAGGTTACGGTAAAAGTTTTTTGAAAGCTACTGCTTTTAGAACAAGAAGACTATTTGCTTTAGAGTACTTCAGTGCCTCTGAAATGTGAGATTTAAGCAAATTCATTTTTGCATCGTTATTTCTGATTTTGATAAAATTCAATGGATACAAATTGGTGATGGAAACACACAAGAAATAAAATTTACTCGTTTCCAAATATACTGAGAGATTCTTCAGAAGAAGGGGGTAAATACACAGTCATGGGCAATTACGGCTCCTTAATTTAAATGTAGAACTTAAAATCTATTTTCAGAGTTATTTAAATAAATAGTTGCTGCCAATATACAGGACATTTTTAAGGCTGTAAAAAAAAACAAAACAAAACATGGCCCTCTAGGGAATGAGACTGGGAACAAGTAAGGGAAGGAATGCTATTTTATTTAATTATGTTACTGAATTTTTCCATTAAGGCTAAAAATTAATATAAAATATAGCTGCACTCACATACTGGAAGAAAATAGTTGCAAATCATGTATCTGGTAAAGGTTTTCTAATATATAAGTAAGTTTTACAACTCAGTAACAAAAGGACAACCCGATTTAAAAAGGGGCAAATAATTTAAACAGACATTTCTCCAAAAAAGATATACAAATGGCCAGTATGTACATGAAATCATGTCCATTTGTCATTGGAGAAATTCAGATCAAAACATTAGAGAGGGGGGCCTGGGCAGCTCAGTTGGTCAAGCACTGAAGCCCTTCGTCAGGCTCAGCACCCAACATAGAGTGCTGCACTCACTCTCTCTTTAAAATAAATAAAAATAAAATCTTAAAAGAAAAACACAAGATAAAGAGATATCACTTCACACCCATTAGCACGGCTATAATTAAAAAGATAATAACTGTTGATAAAGATTTTGAGAAATTGGAACCCTCATACATCACCGGTGAGGATGAAAATCATGAAGCCATGTTGGAAAAGGGTCTATCAGTTCCTCAAAACGATACACACAGAATTACTGTATGATCCAGCAATTCCATTCCCAGGTGTATGCCCAAAAGACATGAAAATGAAGAAATGCTGGCGAGGATATGCAGAAAAAGGAAACCTGTGCTCTGTTAATTGGAATGTAATCTGGTATAGCCTCTGTGGAAAACAGTAGGGAATTTCCTCAAAAAATTAAAAATAGAATTACCACATGATCTAGTAATTCCACTACTGGGTATTTACTCAAAAGAACAGGAAAACACTAATTTGAAAGATAAATGCACTCCTATGTTTACTGCAGCATCATTTACAATAGCTGAATTATGGAAGCAGCCATCCCACCTCTATGGAGGTGTCCATCCACGGGTGAATGAATAAAGAAGACATGATATATATATGCCAGGGAGTATTACTCAGCCTCAGAAAGAATGGAATCTTGCCATTTGTAACAACATGGATGAATCTAGACAGTATAATGCTAAATGAAGTAAGTCAGTCAGAGAGAAATACCGTAGGATTCCACTCATACACGGAATTAACGAAACAAAACAAATGAACAAATTAAAAAAGACAAAAACTAAAAAAGAGAGACTTAACTATAGAGAACAAACTGACAGTTACGGGGGTGGGGAGATGGGTGAAGTAAGTGAAGAGAATTAAGAGTGCATTTGTCCTGATGAGCAATGAGTAATGCATTGAATTGCTGAATCACTATATTGCACACCTGAAACTAATAAAATAATGTATTTTAACTATACTGGAATTAAAACAAAAGAAATGAAAACCTACATCCACATACTAAAACCACTGAATTGTACATTCTCAAATGGTGAATTATATCAATTGAGACATAATTTATTCTAAGATATTTTATACTGAGACATAAGCTTTTTTAAAAAAATAACTGCAATAGTCTACAAACTCTAAAAAACTTAACAAATTTAAAATTATTTCTCCAGAAGCTCTCTGCCCCTAAATTAGAAGCAGACACGCAGGGGCACCTGGGTAGCTCAATTGGTTAAGAGTCCGACTCCTGGTTTCGCAACTCAGGTCACGATCTCAGGGTTGAGACTGAGCCCCGCATCATCGAGCTCCATGCTCTGATTCTGTCCTTCTCCTTTTGCTTCTCCCCCCAGCTCATGCATGCACTGTCTCTCTCAAATAAATAAATCTTTAAAAGCAGGCACACAGGAATACCTACTATAATTTAAAATACATATATCCTCGGGGAGCCTGGGTGGCCCAGTCAGTTGAGCATCCGACTCTTGGTTTTGGCTCAGATCATGATTATGGGTCCTGAGAGTGAGCCCCAAGTAGGGCTCTGCCCTCAGCGGGGAGTCTGCTTGTCCCTCTCCCTCTGCTCCTTCCCCCACTCATGCTCTTTTTCTCTCAAATAAACAAAATCTAAAACCAATCAATCAATCTTAAAAAAGTCCATGTATCCTAAAAAAAACAAATATAAATAAAATGGAATTAAATAAAATACACATATCCTTTGACCGGGCAGGTCTCCTACGCATTTACCTTACAAATACACTGCACGAGAGGCATAACTATGCAGATGGATGTTCAGTGCAGCGTTATTATTATTATTTTTCTAAATAGGCTCCATGCTCAGTGCAGAGCCCAACACAGGGCTTGAACTCGTGACCCTGAGGTCAAGACCTGACCTAAGATCAAGAGTCAGATGCTTAACCGACTGAGCCACCCAGGTGCCCCGTGCAGCATTATTTAATAACAGAATATTGGAAACGTGATTTCCATGAAATTCAAAAGGATTCATCAAGTAAATTAAGATAATCCATACAATAGATTACCATGCAGCCATGAAAACAGATCAAGCCCTATTAAACAAGTAAAACCATTTAAAAAGTTTAGAACAGGGCCTCCTCGTCATATGGGAAGCATTTCATACACATTAATATTTTTAAAATGATACCTATTATGTATGCTAATAAGGAAATATGCCTAATATATATTTAATAAAGAAAGCAAGGCATAGACAGTTGGTATAATATGGTCCCATTTATGTAGTAAGTGTAACTAGGTACGCATATACACGTATATTTGTGTATAAATAGGCATTTATATTTTCTGCACTGTTAACTGTAATATCTACTAAAAGGTAGGAGGGCTACCTTACAAAGACCTATTTTTTATCTTGGGGTCCTTGGGTGGCTTAGTCAGTTGGGCATCTGACTAGATTTTGGCGTGGGTCACTATCTCGGAGTCGTGAGATTGAGCCCCACATAGGGCTCCATGCTGGGGAGGGAATCTGTTGTAGAGTCTCTCTCTCCCTCCACCACTCCCTCTGCAAGCACATGTGCATGTTCTCTCCCTAGAATACACAAACCTTAAAAAAAAAAAAAAAAAAGGGCGCCTGGGTGGCTCAGTGGCTTAAAGCCTCTGCCTTCGGCTCAGGTCGTGATCCCAGGGTCCTGGGATCAAGCCCCGCATCGGGCTCTCTGCTCCACGGGGAGCCTGCTTCCCCCTCTCTCTCTGCCTGCCTCTCTGCCTGCTTGTGATCTCTGTCTGTCAAATAAATAAATAAAATAAAATTTAAAAAAAAGAAAGAGACTTATTTTTCATTTTATATCTTTTGTTACTTGCATTGTTTCTTATTGTGTATCTTCATACTTCACTTACTGAAGCAAGTGAACAAACAATACACTGATACAGAACCAGAAAAGCGGGAGGATATGGGGCCATTCTGAGCAGACGTTAGAAACTCTACAAACATCAAGACCCCCTGAGGCCATAGCTCAGGGTACACTGTGAGTAACTGAGAGCCACAGGACTGACCTTGGGATGGCAAGAAAGAGTTAAATAATTATAATCAGCGTATTCTACTTAAGAAGCAAAGGAGTTCCTTAAACATGTTAATATTTTAGAAAGATTACCACCCAAAATCATTAAAAGTTTGGAAGAAAATAAGCTTCAGTGATCTGAACAATCGATTCCTGTGTGCGAGTCAGTTCCGTGATGCACAGGTAACTGAGGCAGCGCAGACAGACAGAGGCTCTGCTGTATTATTACTAAGTAAAGACACAAGCAACAATGCCTTCAAGGCACTGAAAGCATTTCAGTGGGTGATCCCAGCAAATGCGGCATTCAGAGGTAATTCTACGAACATGACAGAAGAGTTTGTAAGTGATGCCAGAGAAGGAAGACAGGTAGCAGTCAGGGAGATAAGGCGATGCTAACAGAAAGCTCTATTTCTGCTCGAAAGAAGAGCTGCTGTTATCTCTGGCAGCAAAATAAAGAAACAAAACTTTAATAGGTGAAAGTCTAGAACAAATAAGGATATGAAGAAGAGATGAAGACAAGATTTCTAAAGAAAAAACAAATACTTTTAATGGATCAGTTTTATTTTGGCCAGATATATTAACTTAAAACAAAGCCTTTTTTCCCCCTTGGTTATAAAAGCCACTTAATATGCTTACTGAATAAGAAATACAAAGGAAGTAAAAATAACCCAAAAACTAACTACTTAAAATTTTTTTACACTAACATTTTAGGTTATTATTTCTAATAATTTTTAACCCATTTTAGGTATACATATAGTTTTTTAAAACAAAATTTAGTTTATATCCATATATACATATTTTTAAATATTTTATTTTAAAGGAATCTCTACTCCCAAGAGGGGGGTCAAACTCATAACCCTGAAATCAAGAGTCACATGCTCCACCAACTGAGCCAGACAGGCACCCCTATACATATATGTTTTATTTTTTTATTTTTTATTTTTTATAAGATTTTATTTATTTATTTGACAAAGATCACAAGTAGGCAGTGGCAGGCAGAGAGAGAAGGGAAAGCAGGCTCCCTGCTAAGCAGAGAGCCTGATGCAGGGCTTGATCCCAGGACCCTGGGATCATGACCTGAGCTGAAGGCAGAGGCTTAACCCACTGAGCCACCCAGGCACCCCTACATATACGTTTTAAAACAAAATGATGTGAGAGTTTTTTTTATGTCTATGATAAAACTTTTTTATCTTTTTAGTTACCACTCTACTGACAATGCCTCACCCAAGAAAACTCACGGTGGAAACCATATAAAATCTCTTTACCTGATGCACGTACTCATCCATACTTGAAGGCATATCGAAATTGACAACCAGCGTGACACTGATCAAGTCTAGGCCTCGTCCCAGGACTCCTGTGCTCACCACAACTTCGTAGTCTCCTTCAAGTAATCCCTTCCCGACAAATCAACACAATTCATTATTCAGAATTTATCTTATCTGGTTTTATATAATTCAGACCTCTTTTCTTTTTTCAAAGCTTTCTTCATCAATATTGTTGTTGCCAAATCTTTTCAATAAGTTAAGGTCTTAATATAACTAAGGAATATGTGTAGCTTAATTCTTCCCAAACTCTCCCCATCCCTGGTATCCATTTTTTTTCTACTAATGTATTCTGGCAAACTTTTCCAAGGGTGAATTTATTGCTCTCCCCCAGTCTAAACTGACTTGATTCCAGAAATGGTGGATTCTGAATTGTAATCTATGTAGTAGATTAATCCCGTAGGGAACAGGCTTATTGCTCCCAAAACACAGAAGCCTGAGCAAGAGGAACAATTAGCTCACAGTCACTGCTTGCCTGAAATTCTTGCAGTCATTAAAGAAGTCTGCTTTAAAAACCAGCTGATAATATGGGGTCCCCTAAAAAGAGAATGCTGAGTGTCAAACCTTCAATATGTTTTTCCTTTCTGTTTGTGATTTCTCCGAATGTATAGATACGCTTTTTAAACCTGTGATTTTCTGCACTGCCTCGCTTAAGAGATCTGCTCCCAGCTTGCAGTCCACAAATACTAACACTGGAGGCTTGAAGAGCTTCTTATCCTGAAAAATGAAAAACATGTATTTAAAATTATTCATAGAACATAAATCAAAACGGGAAGTTTTTCTGAAAGCATTAGTATAAGCTAGTTATCAAAAGGTTTATAGAGGAAAAATGAGTGTTAAAATGAGTGTTTTCTTTAAAACATGCACAAACAAAAGTGCAAAACTCTACTGCCCTTCATGTTTCTCCATCATTTCATTAATATTGCAAAAACAATTTTAAAATTTTGAGTGCAACTTAAAATTTTAAATACTGTTTATAAGTAAATACAAACTGTATTTAACTTAATACTTTATTTTTTTAATTAATTTTTTTTTGAGAGAGAGATAGAGAGCCCAAGCAAGCTGGGGAAGAGAGAGAGGGTGAGAGGGAATTTTAAGCAGGTTCTACGATGAGCAAGGAGTCCAACATGGGGTTCAACCTCAAAACCCTGAGATCATGACTGATCTGAAACTGAACCAAATGCTTAACTGACTAAACCACCCAGGCACCCCCTTTCTACTTTAGGTAACTGTGCTTACACATTACCACCCACTTAATAAATTTCTGTTTAAACAAGTTACTGCTGGGACAACCTGGGTGGCTCAGTCAGTTAAGCATCTGCCTTCAGCTCAGGTCATGATTCCAGGGTCCTGGGATCAACTCCCGCATTGAGGCTCCCTACTCAGTAGGGGAGCCTGCTTCTCCCTCTGCCTACTGTTCCTCCTCCTTGTGATCTCTCTTTCTGACAAATAAATAAATAAAAGATTTTTTAAAAATGAGCAAGTTACTGCTAAAAAAATTATATTTCTCAAGGACAGAATGGCCAAGAAAGAACTTGTCTTTATCTGATATATAAAACTACTAAAAATTTTTGAAATAAAAAAATATTTAGGAATAATCTTTATATTTATATGTCTTTCTATAATACAGAAAATGAAAAGCAACCCTGCATCCATACAGCATTTATTTGATCCCCACAGAATTCCAAAGTAAAGCAATTTATTATTAAATGTCTAGACTAAATTACCCAAAAGCTGTACCTAAAAATCGTTATCTTAAGAATTGTAAAAGATGCAAACATTGTCTACCAAACAGGGTTGCGTGGTTCACTACTCACATTTAAGATTTCAAATAATTTCTTCTTTTTGGCTGGTTCTTCCACCCACAAAATAATCTGGCGCACACTGGAACAGGGCAGGTTCTTTTCCCCAGTGATAATTCTCACAGGATTCTGCAGAAGCTGGCTTGCTAGTTGTTCTATGCTAGCTGGAATTGTAGCTGAAACCAAAATGGTCTGACAATCATTAGGAACGTTTTCCAAAATGTCAAGCACTTGCTGTTGAAAGCCCATCTTTAACATGGTATCGGCCTAAAATGAAATCATTTTAAAGTTAGTCCTACTTGACATTAAAACCCTGAGCCACCCAAGGAAAAAAAAGATATGATTAAGAACATGAAAAATTAAAAACTTCTGCACAGAATATACTACAATGTCAAAATATAAAGAATTGGGAAAATACATATTTATATAAACTTATATTTGTATAATTACATGTTTTTAGTGATATACAAAGATTTTTATGGCATTATTAATACTGGCAACAAATGTATAAACCCTAAATATCCATCAATAGGGGATCTGGGAAATAAAATATGGTAGAGCCATATACTACAACCCTGTGCTATCATTAATTATGAGAAGAAAGAACTTTATTAAATGATATTCACTGCTAGGAGGAAAAAAGCAAAGTACAGAACACTATGTGTAATGTGGTACCATTTGCATATACACCCAAGAAACTTAATTGCTAACTCTGGGGAAAGGGCCTGCAGGCTGTGGAAGGGAATGCAATTATATTTTTCATTTTATAGCTTTTTGCAAAGTTTGGGGGTTTTTTTTGTTTTGTTTTTTTTTTTTTTTTTTTTTGTTTTTGTTTTTTACCATGGACATATATTTATAATAAAATATTAAATAAATTTTAAAAATTTAATGTTGAGGGCTTTTGCTTCTGTATATATTTCTGCGTTGCTAGTTTTCAAAAACGATTTATGTATTACTAAGCAAACAAGAAAAAATTTTGTTAGTGCTGCTTTAAAATAATGAGAGATAAAGGCTATCTTGATTTTTAAATACAATCCAGGTGTCTATAATTTTGAAAAATAAGATATTAAACTATTTCAGTGTATTTAGACTAAAGCATTGTATTTTTGTTGTTATTTCTTTGTTTTGTTTTTTATTTTTTAAGTAGGCTCCATGCCCAACGTGGGGCTCAAACTCATGACTCTCAGATCCGGAGTCTGATGCTCTACTGACTGAGCCAGCCAGGCATCCCTAAAGTACTGTATTTTTAAGTGTCCATTAATGTGGAAGTTTAAACACTCATTTTAATATTATTCATTCTGTGATATTTAAAAAATCTAAAATAAACATGATGGTCTAGGTTTGATCCTGGCTCTACCTAGGACCTTAAATTAAGCATGTTAATGAATGGCTATATGCCTTAGCTTTTCCTTTTACAAATGGGAGTGATAATGGTAACCACCCCATGGGGCTGTTACGAGGATTAATGAGATAAAATATTTAAGACACTTGAGATCACACTCACAGCATGGACTCCATGTTTCAATTTACCATGAGACACAGAGCATGTGCATATGCACACGGTAGTATGTCTTGCAAACATCCCCTGCTTTTCCTCAATAATCCCACTAAGCCCCTCTCTCTCAGGAGATGGCCTCGCTTCTCCTAGTTCAGAAAACAGAGAAGCCATCAGAAATAAGTTCGCCCCATTTCTTTCATCCAAGCTTCCCCGCATCTAATCTGTTCACACTAACGTGCCCCAAATCCAGCTGTTTCTCTCCAGCTCACAGTTGTAAGACTCCTCCTCATCCTGTCACCCCCACAACGGAAGCCATCCACCTCAAGCACCCAGCTTGAACATAAACCATATCTTCTAGTACATAAATCATATCCGCTACTCCTCTGCTGAAACCCTCCAGTAATTTCCCATCACACATAGACTAAAACCCAACTGCTAACCACAGCCAAAAGTCCTACAGTTTTCATCTTCATCCACTTTTTCATCCCCTACCATTCCTCCATGTCACGCCCCACGGCCCTATCACACCAGCCTTCTTTCTGTGCTCAGCTACCTAATGCTCGCTCCCACGTTAGCTCCTGCGCACTGACTGTTTTGTTTGAAGCAGTCTGTCCTCCAGATGGATCTCTGCGTGGCTGGCTCCTCCTCATTCAGGTTTCAGCAGAAATGGCGTTCGGGGAACCCTCCTCTGATACTAACCCAACTCCCCCGGTGTCTCTCTCACACAACCTGTGTACCAACATTTGTCATGGCTTATCTCACCTTCCACTGTATCCTCAAAACCAAGGACAGTGTCTATCATGTAAAAAGCCCTAAAAATGCATCTGATGAACAAATAAGCACTCATTAAATCTGAGCACAGAAAAAGCACATCTGTCAGGCAGCGCGCTAGTCAGTGTGTCCCAAATCTCCCTGAAGACAAGAATCACCCAGAAAGAGTTTTTACATATTCCTGGACTCCAACTCAGGCCTACTGAATCAGTATACCCAAGGAAGAGGTCTGGGCTTCTATTACATTCACTGAACACAATGGATGATTCTTAACCATTAGAGAAACTTGGACCAACACGGTGCTTGATTGTAGAGATATAGCAAGGAACATAATACAAGAGAAATGATACAGTCTACATCCAGGTCAACAGAGCCAAGAGGAAAGAAGGCCAGAAGTCTATCAGGAGAACTGATAGAAGGTTTCAGAGCCATGGACACATAAAGAAGGAAGAGCAGGAAGAGGGCACAGGAGAGAATTCTAGGCTAAAGGACAGATATGTGGAAGACACAGAAGAGTGATAGAGCAGATTTTTCTAATTCTAAGGAATTATCTTAGTCTCCATGCCTGACCATTTCTGTATCTTCACCCTCCTCTCGAAACAGTGGCCTCTCTCTTCAGGGATATTACTCATTCCCAGTTCCTGCCTGGTCTCTCAGACTACTTCTCTGTTTACTACGGACTCATCTTCAAACTTCACAAGCAGACACTTAGCCCCAGCCCTTGTCCCTCCCTCTAATCTTTCTCCCTTGGAGAAACCAGTGTGGCTCACGGGTGCTGATGCCCATTTCTCATATCCACACGGTATTTCCCCTTCATGCACCATTCACAAGAAATTCAACATCTCTAAAACCAACTCCAATATTGTTAAGCCCAACCCATACCCACTTGTCCTTTACTTAAAATTAAAGGCACAACCAGAATTTATAGAGTCTCCTCAACCACCTTCTCCATCTTCTCTCATATTCAGTCATCAGGAGATTCATGAATGATTGATTTGCAGTGATTCTCAAATGTACTCATGCTTCCCACTGCCTCCGCCCTGTCCCTGACCCTGCTCACCTCTTGTCTGGGTTGCTAGCCATTCTGTCCCACAGATTCTTTCTTCTTTAATTTCTCTTTCATGGAGCAGCAGAATAACCTTGCTAAACCACCACTTTCCACATGTGACACCCCAACTCAGTAATTTAGAAAGCCTCATTGTTTCCCACATCAAATCCAAAATCCTCTGCCTCTCTTTCAAGGCCCTCTATAATTTGACCCCACCCTAACTACCCAACTTTACTTCCTATTATTTCTCAGGACAAACGCATCAAGCTGGCTGGTCCCTCCGTGCTTTGTGCTTGGCCTTTCTGGCTCTGCTCGTGTTAGCCTCTTCACCTGGAATACTCAATATGTTCTCTAGTTTTCTAAATCCTGTTCCATCTGTGGATGACCAGGTCACATCCCATGACCTCAGAGAAGCCATTTTTTACGGAGCCAATCCACACATTCTCTCATTTCTCCTTTTCACCTTGTCTTGAACAGTTAGCATATCATACTCAGTCCCATTATTTTATTAACAGTTTATATCAGGAGTCAGCAAACTAAGGTTCTTGAGACAAACACAGGCCTTTATGTGTTTTTGTAAATAGAGCTTCAGGAGAAAGCAGTCACACCCGATTATTTACGTACTGTCTCTGGTTGTACTGAGCTGTTGCAGCAGAGACCACGTGGCCCCCAACGCCTATAATATTTCCTGTCTGGTCCTTTACAGAAAGAGGCTGCCATTCCCTGGCCTGCACTACACCTTTCAGCAGTACTTCTGGGTGTCAGTATAGGTGATAATGCTCTTGCCTTTACTTCAAGTGTTTGTGTATTTTTCTCTAGTAGGACTTCAGCACTTTGGAGGCTGTAATAATATTTAAAATTTCCTTGTGATGCCATCCGAACTGACCCAGAGTTGGTCAGTCTGTACCTAAATAGCACTGCTGGGCCAAAGTCAGTTTCAGTACATGATCAGTTATGTAGCTTACCAGTTCATTTCCTGCAATGCTGGGACAGAGGCTGCACAGGACAAGCACTTGGCACAGGTTTGCTGAATGAACACTCCTTTTGTATTCTGAGCACAGCACTGAGGTGCCCTGTGAAGGCTCATTCATTGGCAAAAGTGAAAATGTTGTGTGGAGGAGCAAGCGGGAATGGAACCTCACTTTAAAATCTGAGGATCATTTCTCTGGTGCATAACATGGTGAAAACGTCAGAACACATGGACTGAGCATCCGCGGGAAGCCCACCCGTACTTGCAGGGCAGAAGTCAGTCCGATGATAACCGGATGCAGTAAGTCAGCTGACTCTAAAGGCACACCAGGCAAGTGCTGACTTAGCAGTACTTTTTAAAGGACTGAATAACAGTTCACAATAGCCAAGGTAGGGAAACAACCCAAGTGTCCATCGGCAGATGAACAGATCAAGAAAATGAGGTGTATATATATGCAATGGAGTATTATTCAAACTTAAAATTCTTTCCTTTTTTTGTAACGTGGATGGACCTGAAGGACATTATACTCAGTGAAGTAAGCTAGACAGAAAAAGACAAATATTATATGGTAACACTTACATATGGGATGTAAAAAAGTTAAAAATAAGAAAATAAAAGTCAAAATCATAGAAATTAGGAGAAAAATGATTGCCAGGGGCTGGAAGGTGGGTGAAACAGGAAGAGATCTGGGGCTAAAGGGTAAAAACTTTCAGTTATAAAATAGATAAGGTCTGAAATCATAACAGTTACCATAGTTGATATCACTGTATTGTATAATTGAAATTTGCTAAGGGAGTAGAACTTAAATGCTCTCTCTCACATACACAAAAGTAAATATGTAAGAAAAAAACAAAAAAAAACAATAAAGGACTGAATAACATTACATTTATACAGAACTTTTCAGTCTATGAGACATGTTCACAATCATTACTTCATCCTTGCCACAACTCTGGGAGATTAAATGACTTGCCCAGCATCCCATAGTGGGTGGAGAAAAGGCGCAAATCCTCATCTCACGGATCTTACTTATGTGTTCTCTCCATATCCTCTGGTACCTACTGCTACCTCCTGGGACCCACAGAAGGAGGACCACGTTACCATCACTGGTCAGCTCCTGGACCCCACATTTCTGATCACTGCTGGGCCCCTGCTCTGTGACTGCTGGTGGGACATGTGTGAAAGTGGGCATGTGATACACTGCAGGCCGAACCAGCCCTTGCCCAGGCTGGGCGGACACATGGCTTTCTATCCCCATGCTGGTTCACATGCTGGAATATCATCAGATAAAAACATATTTATTTCACCTTACTAAGCAAACCACAACAATAAAAACGCCTATATGCTCTATGTCACACTGAAAATCACAACAACAGAAACCTATGTCCACACAGAAAAAAATGCAAAAGGTCACCCAACTAAGCATGATGAGTTAATTCCAAACTCCCTCTTGATAGTTATTGGCCACAGAAATATTTATTTTTATAGACAAATGACAGCCAGTGTCAAATGTTTAAAAAACTTATCACTGAGGGGTGCTTGGGGGGCTCAGTTGTTAAGCATCTACCTCTGGCTCAAGTCATGATCCTGGGATCGAGCCCTGCATCGGGCTCCCTGCTCAGCCAGAGGCCAGCTTCTCCCTCTCTCCCTGCTTTGTTCCCTCTCTTGATATGTCTCTCTCTGTCAAATAAATGGATAAAGTGTTTAAAAATAAATAAATAAATAACTTATCACTGAGAGTATAGTAGATGTTGGATTTGTGTTTTCTGTCAATTAGGAAAAGAACAGCTGGTTGCATTTGTTAACGTGGTTTAATTTGGGTGCACTACAGGTTAAGGGCAGGGCCACACAGGAGCCAGCTTAAAACTGACTACTGCGACTGAAAATGCCTGAACATACGGTGAGTTTATAGAAGTATAATATACTTTTCATAAATTAAACTATATGACTATGTTCTAAACAACAATTACTTACTTCATCTACTACTACAATTTTTATACCACGGAGTTCTACAGAGCTCTGTTTTATTATATCCAGAAGTCGCCCAGGAGTTGCTATGATAACCTGAAGAACAGAGAAAAAAAAAAAAAATTAGATAATAGTCCTTCCTTTCTTTCTTCCTTCCTTCTATCTGTCCTTACTGAGTGGCTAATATGTGCCAGCCGCTGGGCTAAGTACTCAGAATTCAACGATGATTAAGTCACACATAGTCTCTGCTCTCATGACCCTCGCAACATAAAGGAACAGAAAAAATAAACAAATGCCCATGAGGTCAGTATAGTAATAAATGGAGGCATCTATCCAGCCCTAGCTAACATGTAAGTTAAAACCTAAAGGAATAGGGGGAGCCAGTGAGGAGAGGGCAGAGGGAAAACATTCAAGAACCTTCTGAAGCTGGAAGACCACTGAGGCTTCCACTGGGTAAAAAAGGGGAGAAGACCTGGATGAGGCTTGAAAGGAAGCAGAGGCCAGACCAGAAAAGGCCTAGCAGGCGGGCTGACTGCTATCTGGTCTATAAACAAAAGCAAATCCCTGAATCTTTCTGGGCCTGCTATTTTGTTTTTAAATTAAAAGGTTGGACAAAAGGATTTCTAAAGTTGCTTAAGGCTCTTAACACTTAGAACATATTAGTTGAAGCAGTGGTTAAAAGTGGGGCCTATTTAGTCAAACTTCAGTAGGGATCTTAGCTCTAGCAATTGGTAATGGTGTGAGTCTCTGTTCTCACATTCATAAAATGGAAATGATAATAATTATTGTGAGGATTAAATGAGACGTGCCTGGTGTAAAGTACAGTAGAGTTACAAATGATCTCATAAATTCAACTGTATTCCACTTTTGAAGGACACACCGACACAATGGTGAGACAGATCACGGAGAATGATAAAATTTCAGGGTTGTAAGGATCTGTATCTATAGAACTACAGAGTTCCGCTTAGTTTCTTCGGAAATACCATAAACATTTAAATCTGTTGTAGTTATTTTGAACTGAGTTCATCCCTTCTATTTCTATTTTACTTTTCCCCCTCTGCTTTTTTTTATAAATCTTTTTTTAATGAACTTCCCCACCATTCTTTTAGTGTGGGAATTTTAATAAATTTATAATAAACTTAATAAAGTCTAAAGTAAATCGACACATTTAGCTTTTTCTTGAGCAATCAAGGGCAAACGATTTAACACCAATCACAACTTTCCTGCACTTACATGCTACACTTGGCCAGTATTTTACTTCTATTTTTTTTTTAAACCCACAGATTGTTCATTATTACTTTTTATTTAGTCAATGTTTGTTTACATTTACCCACATTCTTAGGCTTTTCTTTGCTTGCCATTCTTTCTTTGATCCCACACCTTCCTTTCCAGAATCATCTTCTTTAATGCAGAATATCTTAGTTTGTGTTCTTTTAGATAAGTCTACTGGTAATAAACTCTCTCTCAGTTTTCTTTATCTGAAAAGGTCTCTATTTTGCCCTGGCTTTTGAAAGATCACTTTGTTGAACGGACAGACTTTTCCATTATTTTTTCTCAGGGGGTATCTGTGAAGGACATGGTCTGGTATGGGGAGTGGGCGAGGCACAGGGTGATGAGGGGCCTCCAGAGAAAGGTGACCCTGCGTGGAGTGTTGCGGTCTAAGGGGGTGAAGAGGATGCAGGGTGGAGTCTAGGAAGGAGGGCATCACTGGGGGGCAGGGGACAGAAATGAGGATGGGTGAATGGTTACATATAAGATGGTTGGTCAAGTAAATAAACATTTAAAAGATAGCAGGTTTCTCACTGCCAGAATGATGAATATGGAAACAGGAAGCACCAAAATGGGTCTTGCTGTGTTGAATTAGAGTTGGAAGTATCGACATGAATTCATGGTCTATAATAAATGTAGATCAGAAACACACACTTATGGAACATTCTCTCCTTCCATTCATGGACAGGTCCTAGAAGCAATGGTACCTTAACAGCAAAGAGCAATAGCAATGAGCCCAACCAAGAGCCCAGCTCTTGATTTCTAGCTACTATCCTCTACCAAAAGGAATCAGGGCAGCTTGGAGAAAGGCAGGATTCCAGGGCTGAGCCAAGGAAAGAACAATGTAAGCATGAACATCTTCTTCAGATAGAAAGAAAGAAAGCGCTCAAAGAATGATGGGGATATAATAAAAGGCCACAGAAACCAACTTCACAGTGCTTCCACCACTCAAATTGGGGACAACTGGAGAACCAAAGCAAATCATGGTAATAACGCATTATAATCCTTTAAATATAGTAGGTAATCATGAGTCTTCCTGGAAATTTGGTAAAGCACAAGAAAAATATAATATCAAAGTACTCAAAATACTTAACTAAATACAAAGGCAAAAAATAAACTTTATGTTTACTTTCCAGATAATATCACCAGTAGAAGGACACACTGAAATTGTGTATCACCTAAAAGGATGTAATGAAAAGAACAAAGCATCTCTTCTTCCATGATATTCCTTTCAAAGATGCATAACTTGAATCTAATCAATTGAGGGACGTTCTTCAAAGCAAGCAGTTTATAATCCTTAAAAGTGTCAAGATCATGGAAAAAAAGGAAAGAATAAAGAACTGTTCTAAACTGAAGGAGATGAAAGAGACATGGCAACGGAAGGCAAAATGTGATTCTAAACTGCGTTCTTGTGCTACTGAAAAGAAAAGTTGACAGGATGATTAGTAAAACATGAATGGGCTTTGAGGAGTAAATGACAGCAATGTTCACTCCTGAAGCATTCCAGTGTATCCACGTTAATTTCCGGATTCTGTAACTGTATTGTGGTTACGTGGGATAATGTCCTCGTTTGTAGGAATCACACTCTCAAAGTGTATCAGCTATGGATCCTTAGATAAATGCCATCTTTCTGAGATTTAACTTCTGAACCATAAGACATGGGACACTCCCACACACCTTCAAGAGCAAATGTGATTAAATGAGGTAATGCACAGGAGAACATCCAATAGCATTTGGCGTATGACAGCTACTCAATAAATTGTGTTCCTTTCCTATAGAAAACAAACAATAATAAAATTAAGGCTTATGTGGCAAGAATGTAAAGGTTAACCTACAAAAACAAAAACAAAAATAAAGGGTAACCTAAAAATCACACTTACAAGTTCCTCAAGGGCAAAAACAAAACGACACCAAAAAAACCCTAGCTCCCATATTGCATATAATACTTTTCAAAGGCATTTTATCAAATTGGTGCTTACCTTCACATGTTGTCGCAAACGATAAAGCTGCGGGGGTAAGGGTAAGCCCCCTACCAGAAGCACGGTTTTCATGCGTGGCAGACCACTCATCAATTCTTTAGCTTGGCTCTCTATCTGAATGGCTAGCTCTCTTGTTGGTGTAAGAATGAGAGCAGATGGAGTTTTGCTCTGCAAAGACGTGAAAAACAAGTCTAAAAACGCTGGCAATTAGTTTCTGCTGATGTGGACTAAATCTTCAAAGTGATCCTGGGGGTGTTCCCATCAGCCCAACTGGTTATGAATCCTCTTGCCTTTTGCTCCCTGCAGATTTTCTCTCCAAAAACCACTGTAAATGGAACCCTTCCTTATATAACAGATATACAGTGAAAAGGTCAAAACTGGGGCCAGGGAGAAACACCCACAATAACCACGGTGGGAAAACTGAAGGCCAGTTGGACCCTGCGATCTCGAGCCACACTCTTCAGAAGAGAAAACCAGGAAGATCTGGTTTTCCACCAGTGAGTTTCACTTATATTTGGAACATCTGATGTTTTCTTTTATTTTTTTTCCCTCACATGATCTTCTATAATTCTTTAGTTTTCCAAATTTTCCTCCTTTACCTCTCCTCTCTTTGCCTGCGTTTTACAGTGGTTTTCCTTCCTGTCCTACTTCAGAACTCATAAACTCACTAGTCCTTGGCAAATATGCCAGTGAAATTAATTATGTGTGGGAGTGCTTTGCACACTATAAATTAACAAGTAAAGTAAGGTAGCATTATTTTAATATGAACCACAAATCACATTGAAGTGTGTATTTTGACCTTTACAATAACTTTCCAACTTTGGTATAAATCATTTTTTTCAAAACACAAAATCCAAGGAGGCTAAATGGACACAAAAATTGCAGGTCATTCAGTCAGCAGGATTTTTTTTCCCCCAAAGCAAAAGTATATTTCTTGAAAAGAAAATTTGTTGAAAGAAAATATTTTGTAAGGAAGGTTATTTTTAAGACCTTCAATGAAAAGATCTTTGGTTCAATCCGATAAAAGAAAAATTCCCTAAAATAGTGTTTTTCATACAAACTACAATCAGAAGCAAAATCACCAGGAGCAATAATGACTGAAGTTACAGTTCCAGCTTGCAGCTTTAACATAGTTAAGGATGAAACTTTGTCTATACCTGACTTGCTTCTGAGAATAACACCTGTAAATTCTTACCTCACATAAAGCTCGGGTGGTAACAGGAAGAAGAAAAGCAGCTGTTTTTCCTGAGCCAGTATCAGCACTGGCCAGAATGTCCCTTCCCAGAAGTCCTACAGGAATCATCTGCATTTGGATGGGGGTTGGAACTTCATAGCCTGATTTCTTCAAGTTGTGATTCAAGGCCTCAGGGAAACCGCAGTGCTCAAAGTCAATAATGGGTCTGGTGACATCTTGCCCCTGAACTACAATTCCTAGCTGCCGTTTAAGATTTTCAATTTGGTCTTCCTGAAGGTTCGAAATAAAGGCGTGCTCTCTATAGACATAAAAAGCATTCAGTGGAGACTCTGGCCCAGAATCCACTTTGTGAGGATCGCTGAGTTTTAATCTTTCTTCCTTTTCCTTTACTTGCAGAAGATGTTTTGCTTTACACTCCAAACTACACACATCCTCATCTGTCTTATCACAGATGTACTCTCCATAACGACCACAAACAACACAGACAGGTTCCCCAGGTTCCGCCCAGCGCTGCGTTTTGGAAAATGACTTAACAGGCTCTTCAGAAAGATCGCTATCCTTCGCATCCTGCTGGGGTCCAACCAAACCAACCTCGGCCAACTGACCAGTTGTACTGGGGAAAGGGCATGGTTCCACACTGTGCCCTTCGGCTTCTTTTGTAACTAACGCATCAGCTCTATCACCTCTGCCTTCAGCCAGCCGCAGGTCTTCTGCATCTGGTTTAATTTTCTTAGCTGTACAACTTTTGCCATCATCATTAGCACTCCTCTTGATTTTGAGAGATCTTGGAACAAACATCCTCCAGTATTCTGTTGAGGAAATCACATAATGAGATGTATTTTACCCTCAAAAAAGTCCACATGTAAAGTACCATATGGCTATCCTGCAGTCAGCCTACGGTCCTAGGGCTTTGCCTACAAGGAATCAAAGGCGGCATCATGACACTACTTAATAGCAAGCTTTCCTTCCATTCACAAATTTCCTCTAGTGGGAAAAAAAAAAAAAAGAATCCTTTTTCCTTATACATGGGAATGGTGAACCTTTGCACTCTGCTTAATACAGCCTTGTGCATACAGCCTGCTTCTGCTGACTACTTGCACTTAGAAATACCAAATAGTATAGAAATTCTGGAGTAAATCCTTCTATTACATTTTTCACAAAACAGGAGGGATACTTCACAACTGGGATCTTTAAAATCAAAACCAGAAAGCATAGAGAAAAATGCTATTTTAGTAACACGTATGTATTGCTACGTTCCAAGCACGGTGCTTAGTGCTTCACAAGGGAACCTTCACAAGCCCGGAAAGGAGCTTCGCACCATCCCCGCACAGATACGCGCCCGCACACTACGCTGTATTATGTACTGTAATTTTTCACATGAGGAACGTTGGCCATTTAGAGATTAAGTGGCTTGTCCAAGCTCTCACACCCTTACTAAATGTCAGAACCCGGGCACGGTGGGCTCCAGAACGCAAGCTCTCAAACATTGCTATGCCTATTTCCACCAAGAATGTTTTTGCAAAATGACGTAGATTGTGAAAGGCCTTTAACCTAATTTGGGGACTACTAAACATACTAATAAACATTTCTCGCAAAAAAAAAAAAAAAAAGTTCTTAGGCTAAATTACCAGATTCAGTTCTTCCAGAAAAATTCCAACAAAAAAGGCAACTGAAGATCTAGAATTACTACCCTAACTCTCCGGGAACGTCAAGGAGGTTGGGGGAGGGACGGCTCTGTATCAGCAGGAAAAGCTTGGGACTAACGTCCGCCAATGGCGAAACGGAACAGGCTCCGGCTGGGCGGGTAGCAAGGCCTTCGAGTCCCCCGCGGCCCCCGACTCCTCCCGTTGCGCGCTCCCGGACCCTCCCCTCGGGCGTTGCCCCTCACAGCGGCCCCGCGGCCCCCCACCCAGAGGCGCGTGCACGTCACGGCGCTGCTAGGAGACGGGGCGGGCGGGGCACCGCGTTCCCGCGGGAGGCCCGGGACGAGGCGACTGCAAGGGTGGGAGGGGAACTGCTCACGGGGCGGGGGGAGGGGGTGTATCCTACCGCCGCGGCCTAGCGCCCCGAGTCCCAGAAGAGAGGGAGCCCGACGGGAAGGAGGCCGGAGCTGCCGGGGCCCGCGGCCCGCTCACTGGCGCAGACTCGGGGCCGCGTCCTCTCCCGCTCGGGGCCGGTTTCCTTCTCCCGGCGCTGGGCCGACCTTCCCTCCGGCAAGCCTGGACTCGCTCGGCCACACTACGGTTCCGAGGGAACGTGCGGAGCGCATAATCCACTTCTCCGGGTTTTGGGAAAAGGCCGCGGCGCGCCTTAGCGCGCGGGGAAGGCGGGGCTACCGCGGGAGGCGGAGCTTGGCGGGGAGCTGGCGGAGGCGGGGAGCGCGAGGGAGGGGCGGGGCCTGGGAAGATCGGAGTTTTTCGGCGCCCTCTTCCCGGCTCCAGGGCGCTGGTAAATTTCAGATCCTGGCTGGAGCTGGCCAGGTTCTGCAGGGCGGGGCGGGTTTGGGGAGCCTCTTGGAAGAATTTACGTAATTGAGTGGGCCGGGACTGCTGAAAAACCGCCCGGAAAGACTGAAGCTGGTGGCGCGGGAGCCTGGTACCCTTAGAAACTGGGAAGTCTGAGTGTAAAAGGGAGGGGCAGAAGCTCCAAAGGCCTGTAAACCCTATCTGCTTTTAGCTGGCAGAGTAACTCTGAAATTAAACGGAGTAAGTTTGATGAGGTGCATGTGACATACTGGATCATATTTCCATACTACCACACCCTACCCAACACCAAAAAGAAAATAACATAAGTCACGGCTCTTGGTGCCTGTGAATTGCCTTTTCTGTTTTGCTAGACTCTGGAGCCACGTGCCACAAGCAGCTGGTGGTTGAGAAGGGCTGGGAATGGGGAGAAAGCAGGGAGAGAGGGAAGAGGAAAGCAGAGGTTGATAACTTAAATATTTTAGGTTTTAACTGCTTAAAAAATATTTTCAGTCTAATATTTGATGCATGCAAAATAATATTTTGAACAAATACGTTAAATTTTAAAGCATACTGATAATGTGAAAGTCTGTGACTCCACATTATTAATATAAGCATATATCCTTCATTTCTTGGATTCTTCCCTTCAGCGACCACAATCCTGAATTTTTCCCTCTCCCTGACATTTTTTTTTAATTTTTTAAAAGGATGTTATTTATTTATTTAACACAGAGATCACAAGTAGGCAGAGATGCAGGCAGAGAGAGAGGGGAAAGCAGGCTCCCTGCTGAGCAGAGAGCCCTATGCGGGGCTCCATCCCGCGGACCTTGAGATCATGACCTGAGCTGAAGGCAGAGGCTTAACCCACTGAGCAACCCAGATGCCCCTCCCTGACATTTTTAGTAGTCATAGTGTCAACTCTGGGATCCCATAAAATAGTCCATAAATAGCTCATAATACTATGATCCCATCGTATCAACTATGGGATCCTAATAAAAATTATATTATAAAAATAATATATATCTAGCCTTCTGGGATCCTCTTTCACCATTCAGCATGTTTCTTTGATTCATCAAAGTTAAGTGTAAACAAGCAGTAGAACATTTATTTTTACTGCTGTAATATTGTATGTCCATAAAGCTATTTTTGTGTAGTTATTTATCCATTTTCATGTGGACACTTGAGTTGTCTCCAATATTTTGTGCTTGTTAGAGGCAAATTTGCCATGAAGCTAATGAAATTTGAGCTTCAGAGCCCTACAGTCCCATGCGTCCCATCCATATGCGTAAAAGAGGACTCTTGTCAATGTGTTCACGTTGTTATATGTTTTTGTAAAATCTTCAAAAGAAGGATATTTAAACCACAATGGATTAGGACCACTTTCTCTTTACACTCCAGCTTCCACTCCTTCAACACTTCTCAAGTTGGATGGTGATAGATAGCAGCAGGCATTTGGGGATTGAGCCAAAGTGGGTTGAGTTGCAGATACATTTTCTTGAGTTCAGTGGGATGTATTTTATGGGTTTGCAGCCTGTTAATTAGACTATTGCTTTCCATCCCATTGTAGGAAGGTGTAGGGACAAATATCACATCAGGATCTGAATGTGTCCTATAGCATCCAATGCCGGAATTATACACATGTTGAGGAAGAAATATAGTTTGAAATGTCGGGAGCTAGAACCTGGTCTGTAAAAATGTGTTAGATCTGTAAAACTAAGTAGAGGATTGAGTTTGGACCAATACATAGTCAAATGGAAGTTCTCCTATTAGGAATGTATCCATGATTATATGATTATAAGTGTATTTTACATTTTTTCTTTATTGATGGGAATCATCCAAAGTAAAATTTATCAGAATCCCTGAGTTTGTAGGTCACAAACCTAGAACAGATCTACAGTGATTCTGTCTAGACTTTTTTTTTTAATATCCCAAAGGTTAATAATTTTAAGAAACTAAATAAACCATGCTAAAAGAAAGACTTTGCCTTTTTATTCTCGCTATGTAAACAATATATTGTCATACGAAGAGGGGATCAAAGAATATGCAGCAAAAAAAGAAAAAAGTATAGAAGTGCATAAAACAATATAAAACATGGTATGGTACTTTCCTGGGTTTTGTCACTTTTCCAACTTGTTCTGATTTTTCTCCAACTATATAATTGTCATGCTCTACAAAACCCAAATCTGCCCCTGGCAATTACTAACAAGGCTGGTAGGAGCATTCTGGGCACGCTTCCTGTGGATGTATCTGAGTCTCATCTGAACTCAGGAGAACACTGCTAGGTGGGAGAGTATGGGGTGTTCAGCTTTAAAAGATAATTGCTGGGGCCAGCTGGGTGGCTCAGTCTGTTAAGCATCTGACTCTGGATTTGGCTCAAGTTGTGATCTGGGGGGATCATGGGATCAAGCCCCACATCAGACTCTGTGCTCAATGCAGAGTCTGCTTGAGATTCTCTCCCTCACTCTCTCTCCCTCTGCCCCTCCCTGCCATGCTCACGGGTGCTCTTTCTCTTTCAAATAAATAAATCTTTAAAAAAACCTTGAAAAAAAAAAAAAGATAATGCTGTAATGTTTTCAAAGTGGTGATACCAGTCTATACTGTCAGCAGCACCCATAAGCCCTTTCCTGTTACTCCACATTCTTGCCAAAACTTGTTCTTGTCCAACTTCTTAATTTTCCTCATCTACTGATAATAAATCACAGTACCCTCAGTTTGAGCCTTTTTGCATATGCTGATTGTCCATTCATGTTTCTCTTCTACTTCTAAGAGTTTTTCTTAGAAATATATTATTGATACTAATATTTTGTCAATTGTACGTGTTGCAAATATTTTTTCCCTGTTTATAGCATGTGTTTTTTCAAGTATTAAAAATATTTTTTATTCTATTTTGGAAAAAAAAAATCAAACTGACAGAAGAGCTTCAGGACTAATACAACAAACTCCTGTATACATACCCTTCAATTCACAGTTTGCTCTACTTGTGTATAAAATAAAAAATCTAGGGGCACCTGGGTGGCTCAGTGGATTAAAGCCTCTGCCTTCAGCTCAGGTCATGATCCCAGGGTCCTGGGATCAAGCCCTGCATCAGGCTCTCTGCTCGGCGGGGAGCCTGCTTCCCTTCCTCTCTCTCTCTGCCTGCCTCTTTGACTACTTGTGCGCTCTGTTATCAAATAAATAAAATCTTAAAAAAATAGATAATCTGTACATTATTTTGTTCATCTATTTGACAGTAAGTTGCAGCAGGTATCCCTGAAAAAAAAAATATTCTTTTAGGTACCCATTTTCAAATTTAGGTAGTTTAACATTGATATAAGACTAGTATCTTACACATAGTCCCTATTGAAATTTGGCCAGTTGTTCCAATAACATACTTTCTTTTTTTAAGATTTTGTTTATTTATTTGTCAGAGAGAGAGAGAGAGAGAGAGAGAGCACACAAGCAGGCAGAGAGGCAGGCAGAGGCTGAGAGAGAAGCAGGCTCCCTGCCGAGCAAGGAGCCCATGAGGGACTCGATCCCAGGACACTGGGATCATGACCTGAGCCGAAGGGAGAGGCTTAACCCACTGAGCCACCCAGGCATCCCTCCAATAACATTCTTTAGAGCAATTTTTCCCCCAAGCTGGGATCCAGTCCCAGATCTTTTCACTGTTTTTATGGAGACTTTCATGAATAAAAGTTAAGTTTTATATAGTTGAATGTGTCAATTCTTTCTTCTGTATTTTGCAACCCCTTGCCCTGACAGGGGTTGAGGGGATTGGGGTAGGGATGACCATGTGAAACACAGGTGAGTTTTCAGTCAGTGAAAGCAATTTGTATGATACTGTAATGGTGGATACGTGTCGCTAAACATTTGTCCAAACCCACAAAATGTACAACACCAGGAGTGAATCCTAAATAACCATGGACTTAGGGTGAAAATGATGTACCAGTGGAGATCCATCAGTAGTAGCAAGCATACCACTCTGGTGGAGGATGTGGATAACAGGAAAGGCCGTACATGAATGGGCAAGTCAGTTTATGGAAAATCTCTGTAGTGGCCTCTCAATTTTGCCATGAACCTCAGATTGCCCTAAGGGGGGAAAAAGGCTTAGAAAAAAATCTTTGCCTACCCTAAAGTCAGAAAGGCACTTCCTTGAATTTGGGGGGAAACTTTTGGCTTTCACATTTAAACCATTAGTCCATACAGAGTTCGTTTTTGTTTGGTATGAAATAGGAATCCATTTCTTTGTTTTCCAAATGGCCAGCCAATGTTCCAAATACTATTTATTGAAGAATGCTTTCTCCAGTGATCTGCAATGTCATGTTTGGTCATACATCAAGGTTCCATGACATACAAGTCTGTTTCCAGACTCACTATTCTCTCCCAACCTGTCTATCCCTGTGCTCATACCATTCTGTCTTAATTACTTTACCTTCGTAAGTTTTGCTATCCATTTGAGCAAGTTTTTTTCAGGAGTGTGTTGCCTAAGGATTATCTCCCTCCCTCTCTCTTTGCCCCTGCCCCTACTCCCATGTTCTCTCTCTATCTAAAACGAATAAATAAAATCTTAAAAAGAAACATGTTTTTGAATTGTTCATTGGTTTATAAAATGAAATTTATATATTTTTTATAAATTTATATAATTTCATTTTTACAAATTTTATAAGTCACCTTGCTAAATGCTCTTCACATTCTAATAATTTTT